GGGATCCGAACCCTCGGACGGGCGCGCCGCCGCGCTTCCCAAGCGGCGCACTATCCAGTGCGCCACCGGGCCGGCCCAGATGGTGAAATTTTTAAAAATGGCTTTTGCATAACTTTCTGATATTTTTTAGCCTGTTTTCTCCATGCCTATCTAAGACCACGTACTGCTTCATTCTGGTGGCAGATGTAAGTTCACTGTTAAGTGAACTTTGGGAATGATGGGTTGAGAGGGGGAATCAAAAAGTTGGATCTCTTTTTAGGCATCACTGTGAAAGTGTTATTCACGTAGTCAACATGGCATTTTTTTGTTGTAGCATTGGTTTTTGACTCATATCAACACAGCATGTTCTTTGCTAGTGAATAGATTTCTCTCTCTTATCAGGTGTTGTGTGCTAAGTGGGATGCTGAATCACACACCTAAAAGTGATTGTTAGCACATGGGGTCTAACAAAAGAGATGTGTTTTATTCTGGGAAGGGTTGAGAGGAATTGGTGCTGGGGAAGAGTCTTGCTCCATCATTAGTTGGCTTGCTAAGTTAGGTCACCACATTTCTTTCTTTGTGAAATGAGACAGTTGTACTTCATAATCTCTAGATTATATGACACCAAGGAGAGACAGCAAATTATGAGTTCGAAGTAGTTTTGCCCAGGCAATTTGTTGATTAAGCAGCAGGAGGAAATAAGCCAAGTGGAAGTGTGCGTGTTTGGGCAACGCGTCTAACTTGAAAGCTATCCAGATAATAAATGTTAGTCAAAACCAAGCATGAGAAATTAGGGCTCGTGACCAAGTAGGTCATCAACAGAGAACATTTATTAAGGATTGGGAGGGGGGTGAACTCACAAAATGCCTCAGGGGAGTTTGATGGAAAATTATGATGCAAGTGGAAGGTCAGGATACCTGAGAGAGGAGATCTGTAGCCACCTAGGTGTGTAGGTAGAGGGCATTGCTAAGGAGCCTGGGGGTGCCCGGGCTCATTGGATAACCACCTGGAGGAGAAATCTCTGTTTCCCAACAGACTCTTGCATGACTCTTGTGAAGTTGTGCTCTGGGTATTTCCACATTCTGGATTTTTCCATTACTTTCTGTTAATATTTGACCATGGTGAGTTCAGGCTTTAGAATGCTGGTGCTTATCCTGAACATAGAGAGGACAACCAGATGTAAATGCATGTAAATAAGGTAACAGCTAGATCCATATGGGGTGGAGAGAGATGGTGTGTGTATTTTGGAAAAAATATAGAAGTGAGGCAGGCAGTTCAGGCTTCATATTCTGCCTTCACAGGGCCCAGCTCATTGCAATCACTGGGAATCATCAGGAATCTATGGACAGACTCCACTTTTGTCTTAGGCTTACAAATGTATGCTATTGACTGACAGGGAATGGAGAAACAGTATAGAACAACTGGATACATTCGTCCCATTGCCACATTTATCCAAATGTGAAGGATAGTGAAACAGTATAGAGGAGTAGAAGTAACTATTTTTATTCCAAGTTCTTGCAAATTGGATTAGGTTTTGGGGATACAGAAGCTGTTGTAATTTCCAGAAGGTTAGTTCCTATAGAGTGGCTGTGATATCAGTGTTAGAGAAGCCTGAAAAAATCCTTACAGACTTCTGTTTTTAGAACTTTCTATGCAGAACCCTAACAGATAGGAGCGTTTTGATGTTTCTAACAGGTTCAAAGAACCTAGAAATCACTGGGTTATTGTATATATAGCTAAGTGACTGCTCTCATCTGTGCAGTTTCATGCTTGTGTATTTGATTAGATGAATATACCTGAAAGTACAAGTCCATACATCATGTAGTTGGGAGTCAGAACAGAACTGCTTGAGGACCACACTTTGGTGAATGCAGAGTGGTCTCTGGAATGAGTTCCAGTATTCTTTTTTTTTTTTTTCCTTTTTTTGTCTTTTTTTCGTGTCCGGCAACGGATCGCAACCCTCAGTGTCGCGCCCGTACCGGACCAGGACCGGCAACGGGATCGCAGCCCTCAGTGTTGCACCCGCACCTTGCTCAGCCAGTGAGCGGGAACCGGTCTGTATGTGGGATCCGAACTCTCGGTGGGAGCGCCACCGCGCTCCCAAGCGGCGCACTGTAGCAGTGCGCCACCGGGCCGGCCCCTGAGTTCCAGTATTCTTAAATAAGATTTTAAAAATAGTTGTTTTTGAGCAAACAGCTGCCACCCTCATAATCCACATTAATTTTTGTGAATTTGCCGTGATGCTTTGGGATACTTCAGCACACAATTTAGGAACCACGGGATGTTTTCAGCTCTAGTTTATGGACTGCAAGATTTAGTCATGAGGAGATAAGGCATCAAAGTCAGTTTTTCACTCTCTGCCCCCCTTCCAGTATCGGTAAGATTTTCCCTTGGGCCCCCTATACAGACTGTCTCTCCCCCTCCTTTCCTTCCTGTTTCCTTCCCATTTTCTGCTGCATACACTTCTTTAGGAAGTAGACCTGCTGGGGTGACAAAAGGAGGTGGAGACCCCTGATGCTTTCAGCCCCTGCCTGTCTCAAGAAGTGTCCAATGCTATTGCGTTCTGTGGTGAGTCCTGGTTGGCTTGCTTCTCCCCGCATTAGGTGTCGTCTTTTCATACTGTCACTACTGGACTACTTGCTTTCCATCTTCTTCTTCTTTTTTTTTTTTCCTTTTTGTCTTTTTTCGTGACCGGCAACGGATCGCAACCCTCAGTGTCGCGCCCGTACCGGACCGGGACCGGCAACGGGATCACAACCCTCGGTGTTGCTCCCGCACCTCGCTCAGCCAGTGAGTGGCCGGTCTGTACGTGGAATCCGAACCCTCGGCGGGAGCGCCGCCGCAACACTGCCGCGCTCCCAAGCGGCACACTGTAGCAGTGCGCCACCGGGCCGGCCCATCTTCTAAATTGCGTTGCTCTCTTGCATCTACCTTTGTTTCTTCTTGGTGTCCTGTTTGGGTTTGTACATTTTTTAAGTCTTTTTCTGTCATTCGGTGGCAGTAAAGATAACACATGTTTGACCTGCCCTGCTTAATTAGACTTGGGGAAGTTATTTAATCTTTGTGAATGTCCATTTATCAATCTATAAAACATGGGTGACAGTGTCCAACTTGCAGGTGATTTTAAGGTGATATATGTCAGGTA